TAGCTCGAAAAAACATTTCGGCTCTCTCTCCAGGCGTACTACTCCAAAAGGAGATTTTCACTTCAACGACTAAATCTCCTGTACTGCTACTACTACACAATTACTGTTAAGATCAGACTGACAATAAGAGAGAAAAACAGCCTGATCAGAATTCTGGAATTTTCGGAACTGTAAAAAACTCACGTGAAGTGATCTTCAACGAACAGGCCGGATTATCATGTGGATATTTACAAAGGACGATTTCAGCAGCTGTCGGCTTCAAATACACCCGAAAATCCAGAAAAACTTCTCCTCCAGGAAAAATATACATGTAGAAATTGAGGTAGGTTACCTAAAAGATAGCTGTGGCTTAACAGATGCAGATGCATGCATTCCGAGGCACAGCATCACTATGGTTTGAAAATTGAAGGAATGCATGGCGCATCTTGAATGGTGACGCACGATCAAAGCCACGAGTGGGGATAGCTCCCAAAAGCGAGTACCTCCTAGACTGAAAGAGTGTATCCCCAAGCGCAGCAGGCGTGACGCAAAAGTGCGAGGTGACGGCGCCAAGGCCTGCCCTTGTGGGGTACCCCCCAGGAGGCCCATCGCGCGGCAAGAAGGCAGAGTCGGCGGACGAGTTGCAGCGCGTGATGTGCGATGAAGGACGTGCAATGGGACACTCTATTTAACTTGACGCGAAATCCCTAATACGCGCGCGACTCGTCCGCTGACTTTGCCTTCTTGCCGCGCGACGGGCCTCCTGGGGGTACGTTTCATACGAATTTGAATGCATCGCAACCAACAATGCCCCCGTATACTCCGATGTGGAGAAACTTGAAATCGACTTCTTCACGACATCTGCTCCATAGAGTGATTCGCTGTTAGTCCCTTGAAAGGGGAGAACTCGCTGGAGTACCTATACCGTTCAGATGTGATTTCCAGATTTTGCTTTGACAGTGTTTCTCAAAATGTGGTTTTGCCATCACCACCTGTTGTCTCTATGGTAATCTGAAGCAAAAGTCAGCTGCGCCCCATTCTTCTCTCTCGCATACCAAGGTACTCCAACAAAATTTTCCTGCTCGAGGCATGCAGCGACTCGTTATTTTGGTGCAGCTCTCAAGAAGAAGCCTGACCATTGTGCTCACGGTCATCCTGTTTTTTTTTCTGACGATAACAGAGATCGAGCCAGTAAATGCTGTGGTCTAAAGGTTTCAGATGTGGGGCCGAATAAGTGATTCGAAGCTCGAGTTCTTCATGAATGATAATGTTTGTGGGCATTGGTTCTCTGATCACTATTCAGTTAACAATCTTACGGTAGATTCTTTCCATTTTCCTTGTACTAGGAAGAAAATGGAGATATCGCCTTAAAGGCAACCTCCGGGATAAAACTGGTG